GTCTAAGATGTCTTCTTTGATGATTCCTTGTCCAATAAAGCTGGAGAACACATGATCAACATGTTCCATGCTGAGGATGCCACTTCCTTCAAGTTCTTGCCAGTACTTAGCATTCAGGGGATTCTATAAAATGTATAAAAATTCAGCAATTCTGGATAAGGGAAGGCTACGTAATGTTCATTTTGAACGTTTCCCACATACATGTAAAACAACTGAAAAAAAAGTTTATTTCCGTCAATGTACTGAAATGGTCGGATATTAAACCTGGGCAAATTTGTATCTTGGGTCGCTCAGAGGTGAATACGCCCACTAGCATACGGAATAAGAACTATTACATTGTGTGAAGACAATTATTGTGAGCAGTAGCAAGTTAATGCAAGTCTCTAATTGTAAATAAAAAGGCTACATCAACTCATGCCCTAACAAGCTGCAAAAAGTACATGAAATAGTATGGGGTCAACAAATCAAACGATTATAACAATAAACAATAAAACAAGACACACGTTCACACATCAAAGAGTCGCAGTTTTTGCATTAGTTACTTCTTTATTAGAAAGAAACATCATGCTTAGTTTCCTGACGTTGTTCTAAATTATTGAACAACATTTTCCAAGTAAGCTAGCTTTTCAATAATGAAATTTATTTTCTACCTGTTTATTGAAAGGTGGTATGGTTATCAGCTGTTTGAACAGATCAATCAACCACTGAGCCTTCAGTACAATTGTACTGCGGTGCTTGATTATCATCCCCAGGCCATGGTAAAAACTGATCATGGAGTCAAACTCATCTCGATCTTTCATTAAACACTCTTTCCTTGCATAGTATTCAAGCTGTTGTAGATTTCTGTGATAAATCTGTTTAGCCACCAAAGCTTCAATCACCTTTTCAAACAGGAACCACCTTGGGAACAGTGAAAAGAGTCAAGGTGAAATTTGGAATAATACATTATGTAATTTGATTGTTTCTCAGGAAAACAGCATTTTTGTTGTTTAAAACAATTGACACTAAATACATTGAATACATGTTGATGGTGTCTTGATCATGAAAATCTGCAATACATAGAAACCAAGATGGTGGATCCAGTAACATATTTCACCTGCTTTGATGTCTGACATTAATCAGTAGATCTGACCTAGCAACTATATACAAAACTATTTATAAATTATGTAAACTCATTAATTCTAGCACTAAAAAGTTTGCACTTGACTCAAGACTTTTCTGTTTTACCTCTGACCTAGTACTAATTCCCAGTTCCCAAATTTGAAGCACATTGTAAGAATCAAAGTACATGTTGTGGCTTTAACTAAAAATGCAATGATCATATTGTAATCAAAATGCTTACCCATGATACTGATGAACCTAAGCAGGCCTGCACATTAACCTTGAGCAACACTTCCAGGCTATGTACACAATCAGAATCAAACCAAACCTTTCCTTCACAGAAGATTGCTTGCCAAAATAACTGTTGATTCTAAATTGGCAATCTCTAATTGTCAATCACAAAATACAGTTCAACATTGTACCTGGCTGTCTTGAAGATGGTCTTGTGTTGTCAATGCAGTAGAGAGGCCGCACCACATGCTTCTCATATTCCTTGCCACAAATTCTCTCCTGGATTTGTTTTTTCATCACTGCAATGTCACCAACTGGTTTGTCAGCATGTGTGCCAACAATGAACACTGGAGGGCGGAGGTAGGGCAGTTTGTGTTGTGAATCATCATCTATGCCATCATTTAGTGGTGCTTGCGCAACACTGTGAACCGTGGCCAGCCACGACAACAAGTTCTCTATATTTGTTTCATTGTTAGAGTTTTCCAGTTTGACATCAATTGTTCCTTGTCTGATGCAAGGCTCAGCTAAGGCATCTAACGGCTTACTAAGATTGTGTACCAATATGTACACTGCTCGAGATGATAGAAAGATAGGGTGACTGGCATAATACATATGCTGCCCTGCAAAATCCCATAATTCTAAACAAAGGACAATTTCTTTGCTGATATCAACTCTACCTCTGACATACTCTAGCCACTGATCAAGATGTTTTATGACGTCATCTGGAGGCGAAGAAGCATCAATCTGTATCTCAGGTTCATTTGGTAAGTGTTCATGTTTGGAATTCTGAAAACGTTCACCCCTTTTGTCCCGCAGAAGGGTTCCCTTTGATTTCTTTGACGGTGAGGAAATATCTGAGTTATTTAAGTGGCCTTTAGTGTCACTGTCTGTCTCAACCTAAATAAATTATCACATAAGAAAGTAACATAAGAGTGATAAATTTATATATCATGTATTAATCAACACATACATACAAAACAGCCACTTTACTTTGGAACATCCCCATTAAGAGCTTCTCCTTAAAAAAAAAAAAAGGACACAAATTTTCTCTTAAACCTCATCAGTGACAATAAAAATTTTTGAATAAAGCACTTTCTTCTGCCAAACAGCTTCAATTTGAGCTCATATTGCTAATAATAGCTATAGCTAGTTGTGCCTTCACTCAGTTTGGAATTGAAAATTTGAGGTGAGGAATTCTGTAAATTATACCATCATGCACAAAAGAAATTATTGCCAATCACCTTTTCCTTTCATTTCAATGATGCATAATGGTGCATTTTTCTGCTAACATAAACCTACATTTCTTTTTTCCTTCACCTGGAGCATTTGTTAAGGTAATTCTGACTGATGAAATTTAAATAATTATGAATTCATAAACGATTACAAATGGCCCGTGTATTAAAATGTGTAATTATTAGCTGTGGTTACACTAGGCCTTTTGCCCACGGGAAAGTGAGCCCTTACCAACAGGAAGTCTGTGTTTTGTGTGTGACCTCTATTCCCACAGTGAAACTGCCCATGGGAAATTGCTATGAATACATAAAAAAAAAAAAAAACAATGGCATTTCCCTAACCAAGTCGTAGGGTTTAGCAGTGGTTTATCTAACCACAAGAGTAGTTCAACCAGTCGGATGGAAGAAAATGGTAAATCTGGAAACTGCAGCACATGCTGGGCACTTTTGTGGTGTTGCACTGAAATCACAGCAAATAATTATATATATAATTATATCCTCACAAGTACCAAATTCAAGACATGCAGCATCAAACATGGCCAATTTTCAAGGTTTGCATGAGGTATATTTTACTCGTCTTTGCTCTGAATACTCCAATAAAAACCATAAGTTTCGCGGTTTGCGATCTCCATGATGAATTAATTTCCCGCCTGCTAGGTCAAAAGTTGACCTCGGGAAATTATTTGCAATGTAACCGGGGGATTAAACCTGACTGGAAACACAAACCCATCCCAACCCAAGGTTATTACACACAGGGTTACCTCGGGAAGGAGGTGAGTGTAACCACAGCTATTGTTAATACATACTGCTTTAATTATGTATAAAGATATTCAAAGTACAAATTTAAACATCAATTTTTCTGTTTCATGAGTGTAACTTCTAAACTTACTTCAGAAAAGTCTTCTTGCACTGAACCATCTTCTGAATCTTCTTCTCCTGAAATATCTTCAAAATTTCTTCTCAGCACTACCAATTTCTCTGCAACAATCTCTGCCACATCTTTCGCACATTCTAACAGTCCTGGTTTCTTCTCGTTGGTGGATTGCCAATTTCTAACTTGATCAACATCAATTTCACACTTTGAAGGATCCACTTCAATCCCCTCAGTACTCTGTTCTTTAGGGTCAAATGGAAGGCCTAACAGACTCTTCTTCAAACTGGTTTTACCAGCGCGATCCTGACCAATCAGCATGATTCGACCACGGTAAACTTTTACATACCCATCTTTCAAAGCCCTTTCATAAGCCAACTGTGCTCTGTGTCCATCTGCTATTTTTTCACTCATTATCTCTAAATTTAGAAAGTTGTAATAATTTATGCAAAGGAATAAACAATTTCTCTTTTAAAAAGTTTCAAAAAATTCTGAAACAAGCCTAGAAATAGATAAGTCAATTTAATTATATGTCTATTGAGTATAAATTTAGAGACTATGCTTGTATATAAAAGTCATACAATCAAAGTATTTTCCTGATCTTAGATGCATTGGTGAGTTTCATATTAAACACATACACCATGACTGTTATAAACTGACTCAATGAAATGAAATAAGTTTCAATAAACTGTGAGTGACCAAACTAAATGGAGGCAATAACTGTTATCAATTCTGTGGAATAGTGAGGACTCAAAAAGACATTATCTGTTTGGAAAACCAAAGGAGAAAAATTCACATATAAATTCCACAAAAGGAGCAACTTGAAGGTTCTAAAAGATTACAAGGCCAGTTCAAATTAACGATAAATAATCATCAGAATTACTCCTGGCCATAACTTTTGTATGCAGATAAGCTTTAAGTGTTGTTGAATGTTTAATTACTTCTTAGAATCTTTAATTACTTCTTAGAATCTCTGAATCTTCTTACCGGCGCGATCCTGACCAACCAGTATAACATGACCGCGGTAAACTTGTACATATCCATCTTTTAAAGCCTCTTCATAAGCCAACTGTGCCACTGGTCCTTGCGCTCTTTGTCTATCCACATGGTCTAATTAAAAAAGTCATCATGATTGAGCCAAAGGAAAAAGGCTAATCAGAGGAAGTTGTAATTATTATAATAACCCTAAAGGAAAAGCAATTTCTGGAA